TCTTTTCATAATCTATACATTCCTAACAATCCAGGATTACTATGATTTGGAAGCTGGACATGTTGCAAGGCCTTGTTTCCCAAAAGATACACAAAGGGGGCAGTATCAGGAAATGGAGCAAGTGGGCAAGACAACCCAACAAACTCTTTACTAATCAAATCAGTTTCAGGGGGGGGGGAAACTTACATATGTATGACTGTGTGGCAGAGGTCGTGTGAACTGGTCTTTATAACTGCTTTTCCATGAAATCAAAGACATTCACTATTTAATATGCAGTCCATCAAAGCCACTGTGTGAACCGCACACGGCTTTTCAATGTGCAAAAGGACTCTCTGAATCCAGGCTCTTCTATAGCTTGGCATCTGATTATGGAGAATAAGGTTCTGAATAATGAACGGCCTTAAAAAAAAACGTTGGGTACTTATTAAGACACTGGAATTGTCACATCCCACCCCCTGGGTGTGGGGAGTTAAGAATAACAATTTGTACTTGCTGTATAATTACCCACAAAAAAGAATGACAATTGAGAGTGGCGGAGGAAAGTCTCAAAGAAGTGCCAATATAGCAAGCTGGGGGACACAATTTTGCAGTGTCAGCTGGACTCTTAAGGAGAAGGAGGCAATTGCCTCAGGCAGCAGATACTGTAGCAGAGGGCAGAGATGGAAGTCTCCTATCTATTCTGAGATTCTTCTGTTGAAATCCAGCACTATGAATACCACACATCTCCTGGGCTCCCTAAACACTCTTCTGCCTCTGGTGTGATGGCGGCCACAATTTTATGGGCCAGGATTGGAGAAGATTCAATCAGCTTCAAGATACAGACTGAGGAGGAGCTGCCTTCTTGTCTTTGGACTCATAGACAGGGATGGTATTTGCTTACCTTCGCTACCGATTCACAAATGTGAGCGTGTGCCTCGCACGCATCATCTCTGCACACGCGCAGAGCCTTCCATGTCAAAAATGGGACATGATGACATCCGGGCAGGTGGGCGGAGTCTCCTGCAGCCGCCGCTCTCAATTCGCCCGAACTGGATAGAACCAGCTGAAAACCACCACAGCCCATAGATGAAAATTTTGTTGTTGCTTTGAGACAACTGATGGTGCATTAAGAAGAAGTAAGGCTTGTTTGACATGCATTTATGTATCTATATAAGTCAAACGTCATCATCTATTACAGATTCAGTATTGCAACTCCTCACCAAGGGATGGACTTTACTAGTATTTAAAAAATATATACTTTGTACCTTCTGACCATTTGGATCCATATGAAGTAGAAAGCCTACTAAATTTGTAAACCTAATTTTGGCTGACATATTGCTTTGATTATTAACTAAGTTTAATACTTTTTGTAAAAAAGTTTTTAGCTAACAAAAGGAGGTGGCCATTGAAAACGTTCAAAATCCTGTCTCTAAAATGCCAGAGTGCTTCATTTGTTTGTTTATGCTTTGCCCATTCATTTGCTAGACTGGATCACAAAGCATTCTTTGTAGTGGAGGGCAGAGAAAGGGAATTACCAATTCAGGACTGATTTTCCCTACCAATCCCCAGCAAGAACAAAAGACTCTTTTCAGCATTAGCTGTTCTTTCCAAATATCCACCCAAAGGACAAGCTCTTTTATGTCTAAACAGGGAATTCACAAAGCAAAGGAGAAAAGGATAGCAAAGAACTGGGACTTTGAAGTTCATATGGGTTTCCCTTCCTATGAGCAATGTTTTTAAAACATGACTTTATAATTGTAGCCTTTTATAGTTACATATTTACAAGCCAAATAATCCTGTAAATTGGAGATCAATGTTACTGACATATAGCTGTTAGGATTGGACAGGGATAGATAATGTCATGTCTGGAAAAAAACAGAGGCCTGTGACTTCAGGCTAACAAAATATCTTAATGTTTCCTGTGACATGATCTTTCTCTTTCTATATATATCTCTCCCTCTAATAACTCTAAATAAGTCAGTACTGTAGTGAGCATTGACAAGGCTGTAAACAAAATGGAGGCACAATAAAAAAAAAACAAAGGAGATATCAGGGAGGCAGTATTCAAAGGCAAAAAATGTCTATAACAGTAGAAATGTCTTCTTTTTTTAAAAAAAATTGTACTATGCCATGCTGTACCTCTTTATACTTTTATTTGCATGCAAATAAAATGGAATTTCAACATGCTGCAGTTTCACCAGGTAGAAATGGATGGGATCACAAAATGGAGAAATCCTATACAGGTGTGAAGATTTGCTTGTGTTTGGAAGTGCAAACTCAGTCTAGGAATGGGGTTTACAGATGTGGCTGGAATAATTTTCTTTGTCCCCAATTGCTAGGTGATATTTTGAGTCAGTTAGACAAATCTGCAAATTCAGTACTGAGACAGCCTTTAACCGCATACGCTATGGCTATAAACCTATACTAATTTCTCTTTCTTCATCCCATTCTTTCCTGAATAAATTCTGCAGAATTTACATATTCACAGTTTTTTGTTTTGTTTTTTGAACACAAAATGTATTTATCTCTTTTTCTGAAAGAAAATATGTTATTTAAAACCTTGTTGAAAACATATTCTATAAAAGCAACCACCCAGGTAAGATATATTTCTACAGCTCAGCTTAGTCCCAGGATATTCTACAATATTTAAACAAACAGATAATCTACATTAGGCTTTCCTATGCCTTATTTTATGAATTAAATATTATTTTGGCCACTGCTATATATCCTTTTGGAGAATGACTGTACTGATTTTCTGCTTGTGTACAAACCTATCATTACTATACAAATAATTTCTTTTATTATATGTCCTCTATGTCTGTAGTCTTCTGACAATCCTATTCAATAAAAATGGTGACTATACACAGTAAATGAGATGTTAAATTTGTTAGTGATAATGATTAAAAGTTCAGGAAAGGAAGTGCAAAGCTGAAATTATTTGCTTTAGTTGCTGGAGGCTTGTACCTTTTATACAATGAACACTTGAGTTATTTTTATGAATAGTTGACCTAGATTTTCAGCTTGAATGAAAATGTCCACCTACAGTTCAGTAAAGTCAGAAAAGCTTATGCTCCCTAAAAGCTTTTAAACTCAAAATGAAAAACAAACTGCAAATGAGACAAGCAATCTCATATACAAAAATTAAAATTAGGCAATTGATATAAAGGCATCCTGTTTCAGGCTTCATTCTCTCTAAAATGAAAATGCTATTTGTCTCACAAGATCACAGAAAAATTAGTCAAGATGGAAAGAATTTTGCAATCAAAACAGATCAGAGAAAAGACTCATGATTATTAGTTGTCCCATAATCTTAAAGAAGGGCATCACAAGACTTCGTCTCATAAATTTCTTTATTCAATCCTTCATGTCTTAAAAAGGATAGAAAATCCTCTTTGAGACCCTGTAAAGGTTTTTTTACCTGTTCTTATCTTTATATCCTTCCTTTTTTCTAGAAACTCCAGACAATATACAGTATGTCCCCTCATTTTATTATCAAAACAAGAGCCGTAATGTGGATTGTGCTAAGCGCCTTGGATGAAAGTCATAAATGAGTTCCATGGCTGAATGCAAGCTTGAATCTGATCCCAGTTCAACAGCTTATTACAATATTCCTCAACCTTGGCATATTCAAAATAAGCAGATTTCCACCTGCATAACTTTTGCTAAGATTTCTGGAAACTGAAAGCCACCAAGTTGGAAAAATCTGTCTTAACAGCATGGTACGTTTGATAGAAATAGTATAATGAATCCCTAATAGTTGCTTCATTAAGGCAAATCAGCTTCAGAAGGAGCAGGTCTTATAGCACAACATATACACAATTACCTTATTATTGAGTCAGACCATTGATCCGTCTGCTCCACCAATGCAATACATTGGTTGCTGTCAATGTGAGGCAGGAAACACATGAAAATTGCAGTCCGAAAATAAACTTGTTTTTTTGTTTTTTAAACAAAACCCTAAAATATTCTTCACTGTTCTACAATAAAGAAATCCCAGTCCTGTCGATGCTTGTGACAAAATATCCCACACTACAGTTTTCAGACTCCAAAAAAAGTTACTTTCAGCGGTGGGTCACCAAAGGATGATCAACTTTTGAACAAGTTAGTTATTTAGCATTAGCATTTTGGGATAAGGACTAGCATCCTGCTCTAACAATTCTAACTAAACAAAAGATGAAGAGAATCAAAAAACACATTGTCCCTCATACCCCACAAAACATGACAAGAGCACTGCTGGATTGGACCAAAGACCAATAAGTGAATTGTTACATGGAGTAAACAACCAGAGCCTAGAACTCACACAAGCAGCCCACAGACAGTACATGTACTGTGGAATCCTTGTGATGTTATCTAGTCAAGTAATAAATGTCTGCAAGTAAACAACCAAGCTCAGGGACTATCAAGGGATTTTGCAGAAGTAGTAGTTCCATGGACAGCAGCTAAAGAACAACTGCCACTCATTTGGTGGCATTTTCAATTACAACATTAACATCAACGACTATTGAGATTTTGTGGAGAAGCTGTTAAAAGATTCGAAGAGCTATGCAATTCCTGAAAGTATTAAAAAAGTAAAAGATATTGTCAGAACAATTGCTGTAAGTTCTGCAGAAGCAGAAACGTTTTTTTTTAATGAACTTCATATGTTCAGAGAGCAGAAGTTGTCTAACCATTTCTAATTTAACCAACCTCATGACTATCAGTGTTACTGGCCTACCTCTTCCAAACTGGGACCCTATTCCTGCAGTGAAAAAGCAGTTCAGAGAACACCATCGCTCAGCTAATGATATATATAATCTTCTATTGGAACTATACAAATATCCTCTCCTACTTCCCAGGAACTGGTACACAGAGGACCTCTGATCCTGGAAGTAATAATAGCTATTATGTCTAATTGCTATTGATAGTTTTGCTTGAGAAATAGCATGTTGAATCCCACTTCAAAGCCATTAGGTAAGTGATTATTAAAGATCTCAGCTTCTAATGAGAATAAAGCAGTCGTGAAATCTAAAAATTTCCCCTACCGGTTCTGTGGGTGTGGCTTTGTGGGCGTGGCTTGGTGATCATGTGACTCAGTGGATGTGGCTTGGTAGTCAGGTGACTCAGTGGGCATGGCTTGGTGGTCAGGTGACTCGATGGGTATGCTTGGTGGTCAGGTGATCGGGTGGGCGTGGCCAAGTTGACATCAATTCTTTGCCCTTATGATCTACAAATATATATATATATCAATTATTTCATGCAATAAATACTTAAGTAAGAATAAACAAAGTACATAAATCAATAAGAGGTACACAAATACTTACATAAGAGCAATAAAAGTGTTGTCTTCGACGTCACGTCTTAGCACCAATGATAATAATGACCTACAAAAAGAAAATATACCATGATTTACAAATTTAACCATTTAATTCTTAAATAAGAATAAAAGTAGTACACAAAACAATAAAAGAGGTACACAAATACTTACATAAAAGTGTTAAGTCATCTTTAGCTTTAAGATGTTTCCACATCGTTTTTTCAGTGGCACTCTCCTCACTTCCACTTTTCTTGAACTTGATTCCTGGATCATTAGCTGAGTGATAGTGTTCTCTGAACCACTTTTTCACTGCAGGAATAGGGTCCCATTTTGGAAGAGGTAGCCAGTAACACTGATAGTTGTGAGGTTGGTTAAATTAGAAACTGCTCTCTGAACATATTAAGTTCATTTTCAAAAAAAACCTTTCTGTTTCTACAGAACTTACAGCAATTGTTCTGACAATACCTTTTGCTTTTTTAATACTGTCAGGAATTGCATAGCTCTTCGAATCTTTTAACACATTCTCCACAAAATCTCTACAGTCGTTGATGTTAATGTTGTAATTGAAAATGTCACCAAATGTATGCAGTTTTTCTTCAGCTGCTGTCCATGGAACTACTACTTCTGAAAAATCCCAGTACTCTGGCACCAAAAAATGTAGAAATTGTAATTTATTTGTAGTGTCTTGCAATTGGCTACCCGTTTTTAAATGTTCACAGTCCATCAGTCTTTTCTGCAAATTTGTTATGATGCTTCCTAAAAGTCTTTCCCAATGAAGTCCAACAAATCGATGATTTTCTACAAAGTTTATATTTTTGAAGGTTTCTGAAGTAATTAGTCCGTCAACTTTTCTTTCATATGGACCCTTTCCCTTTGTAAGCAGTTTGAATGCTTTCATTGATCTTCTCACCAGTTTTTCAGCCTTTATGATGTCCATATTGCTTGCTTGCAGTGCAGTTGAAACAAGTGAGATTTCTTCCAGAATATCGATCATCGATGCCAACTCATTTAAAAAATGTATATTTTCCAGATGGGCAGCCATACCCAAGTATTTTGCATTCACATGAAAATAATGATGTAGTGCTAGATAAGCACGCCATACAGCTATGGTTGCCCTTAAACTACAGGCAGCCCATCTTGACCCAAAAACTCTACCAATCTTTACGATGTTAATGTCAAGTTCTTCGGATATTTTGTCAAGTTCAATTCGGTTCTTATTGGATTGCTGAAAATAGAGCATATCTTATCAATAAATATTTTAAAATGATTTACTTGCTTTATTTCCTTTATGGCATCATCTAAAACAAGTTGGAGGCGATGGTTCAAGCAGTGCCATATGATGATGTTTGGAAACTCTTTTGCTATTCTGGTGCTCACTCCAGATTTTCTCCCAAGTATAACGCTGGCACCATCAGAGCAGAACGCTATTAAATTTTTTTGTAGGTAGTCCTGTGTAAACCCAACCTTATGTAAACTTTCCAGAACTGCCGAACATATTGTCTCTGCATCTTGTTTCTTCAATTCAACAAGCTCGACAAAAATTGTTGGTGGGTCCTCTGGGTCCTCAACTTTTACGAAAACTATCAAAACTGGTTTGCAGGATACTGTTGAGGCTTCGTCAATGATCAAACGTATTTTCAGTTTCTGTGCAATGATGCTGGTAAACATTTGGGTTTTAATTTCATTTGCAATGCACTCAACAATTTTCACAACTGTTAGCCTTGAATGCAATCCTACTCCCAGACCTACTCCATTTTCAGTTTGCAATTCTATCAATTCTTCTATGCTTGAAATTGGTCTGCATGCTTTTGCCAGGCTGTAAACAGTTTTGAACATTTTAGAAGTGGTGCCATATTGCCTTTCAGAAATTTTGTCCATTGCTTTTGTTATGGCATCCTGCTCCCTTGTTTTATGTTGTCTCTACAAATGGTAGAGCCTTGATAGTACAGTGGTTTAGTGCACCCTGTTATTAACACAGCTGCCTGCAATTTCTGCTGGTTCGAATCTCTCCAAGGCTCAAGGTTGACTCAGCCTTCCATCCTTTCTAAGGTAGGTGAAATGAGGACCCAGTTTGTGGGGGCAATAAGCTGACTTTGTATAAAATATACAAAAGAATGAAGGCTATTGCTTAACGCATTGTAAGCCGCCCTGAGTCTCCGGAGAAGGGCGGCATATAAATCAAATTTTAAAAAAAATGGTGTGCAATTTCAATGTGAAGTGTTCTCTCATTTTCTTCCTTAGAAACGCCTGCTGCACTTCCTTATTTTTCCCAGCTGCCTCAATCTTGAAATGCTTCCATTCTCTGCACACATGAATGCCGCTCTCTATTGTGAAGTCATGTTTCGCACAGTACTTGCAACCTAAGTTTCTTGTTTGAAACTTCCAATCCCTCATACTTCTCTTGGAAGTTGCTGTATTGTTGCATAGTCCAGCAATTGAAAGAATGCTTTCAATTTCAGGATTGGGTGACTGAATACTTGACTTGCTGCTTTCTCCATGTTCAAGTGGTGGAAGTGGTGGTGCTTGTGCTTGGGATGGTTTTGGATCATCCACGGCCAATTCTGATGGTCGTTGTGCCAGTTTTGGTTTCTTAGCCAAGAAACCGATCAAAGTCTGTTGCCTTTTCATCCTTCCTGTTAAAGGCTGCTACTGTAAAAGGAAAAAAAGGAGCTTTGTTAGCTGAGGACACACAATGTAAAAGCACATAAAACGGCCCCTGCAACAAGCAGGAACCTCACAGAGCCTCAAAGAGCTCAAAAACCAACTGTCACACTTTACACACATACAACACAAAAGCAACACAACTGACTCACACACAATGCAAGAGCAGCTGGGCTTCACACAAAATGGCCCCTGCAACAAGCAGGAATCTCACAGTAACAGAGAGCTCAAAAAACCAATTACCACATTTTTTACACACAAAATGTCACATACAGCTTTGTGAGGTTTTGTGTGTTTGTGTAGTGAGAGTGAAACACTACACTCACTGTGTAGTGAGAGTGAAACACTACAGAAACACACAAAATCTCAGAAAGTTGCACAAACCTAAAAATATAAAAGCAGCTAAATTTAAAAGGAAGAGCCTGTAGTACAGTGGACTAAAGCACTGTTATTAACAGATTAACATCTGCTGCTTGCAATTACTGCAAGTTCAAATCTCACCAGGCTCAAGGTTGACTCAGCCTTCCATCCTTTCAAAGGTAGGTGAAATGAGGACCCAGATTGTGGGGGCAATAAGATGACTTTGTATAAATATACAAAAGTATGAAGGCTATTGCCTAACGCATTGTAAGCCGCCCTGAGTCTCCGGAGAAGGGCGACATATAAATTAAAGCAAAAAAAAAAAAATCCTAAATTTTAAATGACTATTTCCTTAAAAAAAAGTCCTAAAAAAACCCTCCCAATTAACTACTTTTTTAAAAGCAACACCCCCCCCCATTTATTTACCCAATTGAAGGCACAAGGCAGGCAGGCAGGCAGATTTAGTTGCTCACCAATGAGATGCATTGCAGGCTGCCATGGGATTGCAGCAGGCAAAGCAAGGCAGATGTTGCGACTAGCAGCTCGGGATTTGGTCCGAAGAGTGAAGGTAAGCAAGCGGGAGGCTGGGGGGAAGGTGCGTAGTTAGCCAGGCGGCTTAGCCAGGTCAGGTAGGCGAGCCTGGGAACCTGGGAGGCCAGCGTGAGGCCCGCAAATGATTCCTGGTGGCTGTGCAAACTACGCAAGGGCGGGGATTGAGGGGGGGCAGCATGCTAGGCCACAAACTATCCCTAGTAGCTGCATGAACTATGCGAGGCCGGGGATTGGGGGGCACACTAGGCCGCAAATGATCCCTGGCAGCTGCGCGAACTATGTGAAGCCAGGGATTGGGGGGGCACGCTAGGCCGCTACCGGCAATACTTACCTCTTTTGAGTGAGCAGCCGTCGGCAAGGCATCTGAGTGAGACGTCTGAATGAGTGGCCATTGGCAAAGCGAGTACCTGGGCCGCATGGCAAGGGGGAACTTATATAGGTCGGGGGTGAGGTGGGTGGGCTGGAAGCGCAGAGCCGAGTGGTGGGAAGTAGCGAGCGACCTGGAAGAAAGTGGTGAGCGAGCCAGAAGCAGCAAGCAGACAAGCAGGCGACCGGATGACTGAGCGGACGTGGCCAGGCCACCAGGGATGATTGCTACTGGTTTGGCGAACCAATGCCAATTATCTCTAACTGTTCGCCCGAACTAGTCCGAACTGGTAGGATTTCACCCCTGGAATAAAGTTTACCCAATAAACAAGAAACCATTTACAGAAGACAAATAACCATAATTGGAAAAATTGGGGGGAAATATAACACAGATTGGAGCAGATGAAGAGCCTTAAAGTCCATTCCATAATAGAAAAAAATACAAATGTATTCTAATTGTTTACTTTTATTTGTGTAACCATCACATATCAAGAAGTAATGAATTCCAAAATTTAACTCTCTGCCATGTGAAAAACTACCCTGTTTCCCCCCAAATAAGACATCCCCTGATAATAAGCCTAACCGGGCTTTTTGAGTGCATGGCAATAAGGCCAAGCACTTATTTCAGGGTTCAAAAAAATATAAGACAGGGTATTTCATTTTTTTCTGATGAGAAACTCCCCCATGCAGCTTTATCAAGACTCTGGACTCTAATTTAGGTGATGGGGAACTCCTTATTTTTGCTCATGTCCTTCCTCTTATGTGCCTTCTTTATAAATTAATAAATTTATTTTATTTTATTTATTTGTTTAAATTTCTATACCGCCCTTCTCCAAATAGGACTCAGGGCGGTGCACAGCCTAAGTAAAAACAAAGCATACAAAATTTAAAAAAACAGTATTAAAATAATTAGATATTCTGGCCGTAAATTAAAACAACCCAATTTAAAACCAATTTAAAATTTAGCTCAAGCCAGCCCAGCTAGTTGAAATAAGTAAGTTTTCAGGGCCCGACGAAAAATCCGGAGGTCTGTTATTATACGTAACTCCGGGGGAAGGTTATTCCAGAGGGTGGGCGCCGTCACAGAGAAGGCTCTCCCCCTGGGGGTCGCCAGCCGACATTGTCTGGCGGACGGCACCCTGAGGAGGCCCACTCTGTGCGAGCGTACTGGCCGGTGGGAGGCTATTGGTGGCAGTAGGCGGTCTCGTAAGTACCCCGGCCCTAAGCCATGGAGCGCTTTAAAGGTGGTCACCAACACCTTGAAGCACACCCGGAAGACTACCGGGAGCCAGTGCAGCTCGCGCAGGAGAGGTGTCACATGGGAGCGCCTCGTAAAGACCAAATCCAAACTGGGTTGTTCAAAAATAGCTGTTATATAAAAATGGTAGTCAATTAAAAATGGTAAAATATCATTCCTAATTTTTCTTGAAATCATTGGCGTTTATAATACACCAATTTCGATTGCTGTACTTAGTTGGATTTACACTACGATTCCTTTTATTAAAAAGCAAAGAAAAAAAACTATGTTGAGGGTCAACACAAGAAACTCAAGTACATTGTAAATAATTGATTACACTATCAATTGGCACAGCTTCCCTACAGAAAAGTTCTTTCATCCCAGTTATGTTCACCGGTTTTCCTAAAAACATTTGGTAACATACTGCAAAGTAGGGCATGGAGCTTTTTATTTTTAGATGCTGTTTTAATGCTCTAGATTATTTATATGTTTTAAAGTGTGCTGAATATTATATACCGTGTTTCTCCAAAAAGACGATCCACCTTGAAAAGAAGCCCTATCACGTTTTTGAGCACATACGATCAAATTAAGCCCCACCCACAAAATTAGCCCTAATTAAGACCCCGCCCACCCTGGGGTGCAGGGGGTGGGGCAAGGCACACAGGTAAAAACTAAGCTAGGGTGGGGATGTTGGGGGTGGAGCTGCCCTACTTACCAGACCTCGCACACCTGCCTTCTTCTGTTGCCGCTTCTGTAGCCACTTGCCACCACTTGCATGCTTTGCCCTGGCCTTTGTTTTGCCTTCAGATGCCTGGCAGAAGGCATCTGCAGCTGATAACAGAGCTCCGGATTGATCACCCTAACCTTAACCCTTCTGGCCGGCACCTGAAGGCGAAACGGAGGCTGGGGCGATGCGTGTGAGTGGCAGCAAGCAGCCACAGAAGAAGTGGGCCAGCAGTGGGCTCCTGCTGGTTGGGGCTGTCGGTGCCACCGCCACGAGGTGAGTCAATAATTAGAACCCTCCAAAAAGAAGGCCTAGCCATTTTTTCAGGAGTAAAAAGAAAATAAGACCCGGCCTTCTTTTTAGAGAAACACGGTAGTCTTCTCTCCTCAACAGCCTCCAAGCTTATCACTTAGAGCAGGCATTTTTAAATGAAAATTATATTAAATCAAACTTGTTTTCAGAAGCCTAGGAACATCTTTCACCACCATAGCAAAAGAGGCAGTGATATAATAGATAATATTCTACAACAGGGCTGTCAAACTCCCAGCTCGTGGGCCGGATGCGTCATGCGCTGGCCACACCCACGCCTGGTTTAGCGAAGGGGAAATAAGTTCCGATACGTCACATGATGCCACCGTGACAATGTGAGTTTGACACCCCTGTTCAACAAAAACCTTGACAGACAGGAACACCAAGACAGGAAAGAATGAGGTGAAGGACCAAGAACCAATAGACCTCAACAGATGTCTTGCTGGAGAATCCAACCTGGATGAGAACATTCACCACCCATCACAGCACCAGTAGGGAGAAGAGAGTGATTAAAAGGGGAAATGAAATGCATTGGTGGGATTATTAATCAATTAATCAATCAATCACAACATTGGAAATCTCTGGCAAATCACACTGAAAAAAAGAAAACCAAGCATTTTTGCTTTTTCCAGGTGCCAATCTTTGGAAAGTCCTGTGATTTTTAAAGCACCTGTGTGTTTCTTACATTGCTTTTTTTTCTTTTTTAATTCCAATGTTTACAGCAACAATGCTGCAACTACAAAGTTATAGAGGTAGATCAGGGGTGTCAAACTCGTGGCCCGCGGGTCAGATGTATCACGCACTGGCTACGCCAACCTCCGTTTTAGCGAAGGGGAAAAAGTCACGATACGTCAC